AAATTATATATCAACCAGGCTAAAGTTCGACTTACTGAATCAATGGTTTCTACTTGACCGTAGACGTTTTCTAAATTCTCAACTGCAACGTACTCTCCTTGCGCGAGTTTGAAGATGTTCTTTTTCCGGTCAATTATCTTCATGCTTCCATCTGGTTGCCATTCTCCAACATCACCTGTTGAGAGATAGATAAGGTTAAACAAGAGCTCACCATGCTAAAGAAACAACTGACAAGAAATCATCAAAATGTTGTTGTTTTGTAAAAACACCTGTGTGTAACCATCCATCAATAAGAACCTCTTTTGTGAGGTCTTCACGTTTGTAGTACCCTGAAAACAGAGTTTTTCCACGGATGCAGATTTCGCCACGCGGAGTACTTCCAAGAGCATCATATTCCATGTCCGGGACAGATTCGAGGCGTATATCGACGTTTGGAACAGGTGGACCAACTGTTCCAAGCATGTCCAATTCGTCAGGGAACGTGACGAAAGTTCCAGCACAGCTCTCGGTTAGACCTACACAAGAAACAATACCATAAGATGAAGAGATTGTTTCCTAATTGAAACTCTTTTGGGTCTAATAAAGGTTTGATATTGTGAATAAGTTACCATATCCTTGTAGAACATGACAACATGCCACAACTCTTAGAAATGACTCTATGTGACTAGCGAGAGGAGCCGCTCCAGATAGAATAATCCTCACATTGCCTCCGAGCCCTTGTTTAACCTTTCGAAGGAGAGTACTCGAAAAGAGTTAAACTAATATGAACGCTAAAAGAGAAATTCAGATAGTTTTTTGGAAGAAGTTGCTACCTTGTTGAAGACAAGTTTGTCACAGAATGGAGAGGCCGCCGCATGAGACTGTCCTTTCTTCATATTTCCAAATTTACTGAGAAATATTTGAATGTGTTAACATCAGTTTGAGGTAAACAGAGAAAGCAAAACAGAGAAATCCTGACTTACTAGGAAAAAGCAACATCGAAAACCTTCTTTTTGAAAAAACCTCCCACAGATAGTTTCTGCTGCAGCCCTGTTATATATAAGTGGTTGGGATAAGCATCTGTATACAAGAGGTCAAGATTCAATAAATAAAATGGTACAAAAATACCTGTGTATACTCGATCTAGAACACGAGGAACAGCGCAAAAAATACTTGGTTTTAGCTCACCAAGGTCTTCAATCAACAATTTCACATCCTGAGAACAGAACATACACATATACAATATATCAACAAAATTCATCAATCACTGGTTGGTTGATTAGAAAGATCAAGTTTTTGAGCTGTACGTACCCCGCGCCAAAAACCAATCGAACCACCTACATGAATAATACACTCTTCGATAGCACGGTCAAAGACATGCGCAAGAGGAAGATAAGAAATGTATACATCCTTCTCAGACAACTGTTTTTTTTTTTGTTCGCAGAGACAAAATAGAAGAATTTCAGTAACAACTCCAACTTCAAAACTGCTTTTTGCATATGAAGCATGAGAAATGGAAAGAAAGAAACTCACGGATTCGTTTACACTCTCTAGGAAATGCATCACCCCACTAGTTATAGTAACAATGCTTTCGTTTGAAATCAAAACTCCCTTTGGATCACCAGTGGTTCCGCTAGTATACATAATCGTGCATATGTCGCTTTTCTTTTTAACAGGAAGATCATATTGCTTACCTTCACCCTGTCATAGATAAACATGATACAACTTATATCATATTAAATCACTAGAAAGCAAATATCGCAAGATCGAAGAGCAAAGAAGTCGAGAAAAAAGCAAATGAAAGTCTTCATACCAGCTTCAAGAACTCATCCCAAGAATGGATTATCAATCCTAACTTTTCAGCTTCTTCTTTCTGTTCTGATTTAACACCACCAAAGCTCACAACAGCTGCATTTGTAATTTTAAGCACATTTGATCAATAGCATCACAAGT